AAATGCTCAACGTTGCACAGGTAGCAACCAAGCTAAAAGGAGAGCTGATAACTATATAGAACACATTTCCATGAAAAAAGTTTAGAGTAATTAACATTGCAGGGTCAACATTTTGGCAACTGGACTAATAGCCCTTATTTCGAACACTGGTCAACCCACGAGGTCGCCGACTCACCAGCAGATCGGTCTTGCTCTGCGCGACGCGCGTCGTCTGCCCCATCATCGTCGGTATCTTCGGCAGGCTGTGTCGCGCCATGACGGTGCCCATGTTGTGCTGTTTTGCTCTACCGGCGCCACCACCGCTGGTCATCTTCCCCGGCGTCCGTCCGTCGGTCTACGTAACCGAAACCGATCGCAGAAGAAGTGCAGACCCCCAACTTGTCGGAGCGTGGACGACCGTGCGCTCTAGAAGAGAGAAAAGGGACGGTTGCAGTGAGATTGCCGTTCGTACCTCGTTGCCGTTAGGTTGGTGGTCGAACCAGTATGCAAAAAAATCAATAGAATGATACGTCAATGCTGACACATGGCTTGTGGCGATTGTCGGTACTTCATCGAATAACATGTGCACAAACCGATTGATTGATGATCCATAAATCATCAATCAATTGCAACCGCTGGGCACGATGTTTCTAGCGTGCATCCGCATCTACATACACAAATATATATATACAGGGTCTCCAACCCTGTGAATTCCAAATGCGGAATGTTCCTGCGGTGATCGGTAAAGGTGTGCAGTCTAAAGTCGCCGAGCATATACTGTGACCGTGATTTTCAGGTGTCATCTGGTGCATTCTGAGTAACGATTTGCCACTTTTCAAAACCCATTGAATCCACCACACCTAATTTTTAATAATATTTATAGCCAGATATCTCTAGATACTAGAACCGCGAGTCGCGTAGGTTTATAACCACTGCCAATTGGTTTGTTATGACTCTATTTTGATCAACATATCAGAACAAATCGAACATATTTATACCTAATATAATCTTAGGTAAGCACAGTAACAGCACTTGTTTCGCATCCTTATCATCAGGAACACGATGGCAACACAGCTAAAATCAGCTGCTAGCTCGCCGTGAGCACACATTTATTTCTAGCACGCTGGAAATGCTACACGCTGAATACAATTCCAGGCTTTCATTTTTAAGGGTCGCGATTGCGCTCGCGCTCCACCGCGCACCATAAATTGTGCCATGGTGCGCGCATCATCGCGCCTCATAAAAGTGGTTGAAATCGCGCACCAAAGTCTGTGTATTATGTTGAAATAGCGCTCCATTTTACAGGGATGAGAATCTTCCGCGGATCCGCGGAAATCCGCGGATTTCACAGTCCCAGGGTCGATTTTGTGAAACGTCTAAATCCGTTGAGAAAATTTTAGGGGGGTTAGAATGTACAAATTTTCATTTTACAGTCCAATAGCCTACTAACAGTACCTTCATTTAATAACACTAGCTGAAACCCGGGCTACGCGCGGGCTTAGTAACTGTGATGCATGTGTTACCAGTACAGTAGTGTTATGTGTAAGGTGTTATATGGAGTTTAGTTGTTGCACATGTTTGTTTTTTATGGTTGAGATGTCAATACAAATACATGTACAATCATGCTTACACGTAACACATTAACCATTTGTTTGGCAAGCACACAGTGAAATACAGACACACGCACGCACTCACGCACGCACGCACACACACACAAATGTTTTATTGTATGCTATG